AATGTCCTATATTGTGGGGATGTTTACTCTCCTTGGCCCGGCCCCATAAAAGCCAGAGGGGCTGCCCACACATCTGGATGTCCTCTGGTTAGGGGCAGAAGAGAGTTCCATGCTCAGCCGAGAATCACCAGCCGTTTCTCCCTTCCTTGCATTGGATGAGGGCCACTCAAGATGGTCACTGTGGCTGGATGCCAGAGACCCTTGACTGGGAACAATGCCAAGACGGGTGGCAGGGAGTGAGGAAACAGGAGGAGGACCGGGGACCCTTGTACATAGCTGGGACGACTTCAAGCATCACTGAGGAGCCCTATTTTGAGAAAACCCACCATGTGAAAATCCAAGACACAGAGCAAAGGAACCTCCCCCATCCCCACCCATCTGGGGATGCATTTCAAAGCCGCAGTGGCATTTATGCCCTTGATAGGAGGAGACTAACTTCTCAGTGATCTGGAATCCTTGCTCTGCTGGTGGGTGGGTGGATGGAGGGCCTTCTCTGCCCCGTGGGAAAATCTGCCCGAGAAGCCATGTAATCATCAGAAGTTGGCTTGCGGGGGTCTGATGATAGAGCTGCAGACCCGGGGCGCTGAGAGGGGCGACAGTCATTACAAAATCATGAAACAGCTCATTTACAGGAAGCAGCCTGGAGTAGTGGAAGGAGCAGGGAGCCAGACACCCGGATGCAAGCCCTGCGTATCTGGGGAGGTGGCTTAGTCTCTCGGGGCTTCAGTTTTTCATCTGTAAAATGGGGCTGGTAGTGAGCACCAGATATTCCAACCACATTGGGAAATGAGGCTCAGAAAACCTTGGGCTGAGTTGTTGTTGCTAAGACACTCTGGGCCTTGGTTTTCTGATCTGTCTAATGAATGCAGAACCATGGAAGGTGGTTGGAAGGTACTAAACAGATAAGACATGTAAAGTGTCCACAAAGAGTGGGTCTGATGAAGAACACATAGGGATAATGGTCCCTACATCCTTGGGTGACCAGAGGATAAAATGAGGTGATACCTGTGAAATGTCTTACATAGACTCCAAATGAATGTGTGTTTTTGTCTCCTTCCTCTGCCCCTAGGAGGCTTTTGGGCAGGTGGGGAGAGGATGGCACTCGTTGAAGGGCAGTGCCCTGGCCCAGCACAGCGCTGGCTCAGGGCCAGCAGGGGGAGGGCTGAATGAGCTGACTGCATCAGGATTGCAGGAAGCTCTGTGACTGGGTACCGGGAGGAACGAAAAGCATCTCCCTAGTTAAGGGAAGCCGAGGGCAAGAGGAGCTGGTTTACGGAAATTTGTACCCCATGTGCTCCAGTTTCATCTGTGGGTACAGCCTTTGGGGAGTGGGGTTCAGCCACTGAAACGTTCTCCTGTCCTCTGATCACAGACAGGCTGGTGCAAGTGCAAAAGTAAGGGTCCCAGAGCCAGCCCAGTCCAGCTCTGCCGCTGGCCCTCCACGAGCTGGCTCAGCACCCACTTTGAATCAGTGCTTACTCCCTGGTGCCATGGTCCGTACTCCAAAGGGGCAGACTGTCTTCCTCCTATGCGCCGTTGGCGTCCAGCAAAGTCTCCCTTGCAAATGCCAGGCCATTTCCAACTCTGGTCTTTTTCTCTGCCAGGATGCCCATGGCCGAGGCCCCTCAGGCGTCTGGCGGGCAGGGTGATGGAGGCGATGGCGAGGAGGCAGAGCCGGAGGGGATGTTCAAGGCCCCCAAGAACTCCAGGAGAAAAATCCAGTACTACCTACGCCTGGCACCCCTGTGGCTGGCCCTGGTTGTGCTGGCTTCAGGGGGCTTCCTGCTCTGGTATTTCCTAGGTAAATGCATGGGCCCGCCTGGGAGAGGCACCTAGGAAGGACTTGGGGTGGTTGTGGGGGCCATAGCAAGACAGACCAGAATTCCAGGCTCGGCAATGCCTAGTAACTCACCATGCAACCGAGGGCAAGCACTTTCTCTCTCTGAGTCTCCCTTCCTATCCTGTGGGATGGGAGTGCCGCTGAACCTATGTTCCAGGTCCTGGGGCTCAGGTCAAGTGCAAGTTTCTTGCTTGGACTGAGTGCCCCCAGCTCCCAATAGCTGGAAAAGGAGTGCTCTCCCAGCACCCAGTGAACCAAAAAGCCAAAAGCATATGAACTTTGCTTCCTTTTGCCTGCAGCCCTCCAGGGTTGCCCCTAGGGGTTGGAGCCAGCTGACTCTGCAGGAGCAGGCCCAGTGGTGCTGGTGGCTCCTGGCACCAATTAGTGCTTCTGCTCACTTGAGTCCCATCTGAGAGCTAAGGTGGAGACCACAGCTCTGTCACCTCTGGGTCTTCGGGGCCCAGCATGAATGGGGATGAAGGGGAGGCAGGACACAGAACTCAGGCATCCGGGGCGAGGAGGGTGTCCATGCACACAGCTCGGGCACACGTGGAAGTCAACACACAGTGAAAAGGGGCCTGGAGTGTCCAGAGCAGGTGGCTCAGGGCCTCTCCCAGGTCCTGAATCTTGGCCTCCCTCTCTGGAATCATAGCTCTTCCTCAGTCCGCTGGAGCCCCAGAGGCAACTGGCCCATGTTCTTGGTCCCTTTGTTCTTTTCAGTCATTCATTCATGGATCCAATAAACACTCTCGAGCACCTACTATGTCTTTCTCTAAAATGGGTGGAGATTGTACCTCATTTCTTCAGCTCTGGGTGATAGGAAGTAAGCAAGATAGATGGTACCTGTGAAAAAGCTCCGTGTACACTGTAGAAGACTCACTCAATCATTCATTCATTCGATCAATCATTCATTTATTCATTACAGAGCTCCTCTTGCATTACAGAACTCTGTGCCAGATCCTGACGATAGTCCTGTCCCACGATAAAGCATGGCATGTGTCAAGACAGAGGAAGCTGAGGAGCTAGGGAGCCATAGCAGGAACAAATGATCAGAGACTTCTCATTAAGCACCCTTCAAAGTTGATAGTATTCCTAGCGGCTAAATCTCACGGTGGAATTTCAGGCCCATCGAAAGGGACGGGGACCCACTTTGGAGCAGCCATAGGGCGATCAGCCTAGCCCCAGCTCCAGAGTGGTTCAAGGTGGGGGTAGTCTGGAACCAGGCCCCTGGGAGATGTTTTTAGGAAGTCCATGTCTGATGGAGATCTGCCTGCCATGACTCAGAGTGGATGGTAATTCTGCTCAGAACCGAGCAGCGCCAGCGGGGAATGGAAGCTGTGTGCACTTCACCACTGGCAGGAAGCCAGCGCCCCAAATAGCACGGGGCTGCTGAGGCCTCCTTAGGCTGTAGGATAATTAGTCTTCAGGGTAAACCACAGAACATCAGACTAGAGGACCAGGAACTCACTTGGCCAATTGTCTTTCTTGGCAGATGAGTCTAATTTCTCCTGGTTATGCTCCAGGAGTAAATAGCCCCCCCAGGGTGTGCTCCATGGGGTTAAAGATCCAGGGAGTGAGTGCCCCCAAGCTTCACTTAGGGGAAGCCAACTCTGCATACCCCTCTCCCCCTGCCTCAAGGGATTAGAGCTGAAGAGATACTTTAGGAGATGTTTGAACCATTTCTCCTGCCCTGGCAGGCTGTGCTCCAGATGCTAAGCACTAGGCAAAGGGGTCTGGAACAGGAGATGAACAAGGGGCCTGTGACATTAGAGCAGGATAAGCCCAAAGCAAGCATTAGCCTGATGCTCAGCGGTGGAGAGGGCAGGGACCAGCTTCCCCAGGCAGATGGACCTTGGCCAAGGGGGTACATTCTTCTCGCGGGAGGGCCCTAAGGATGCTCGACTGTTTCTCCGGTCCTTTCCCTCTCCTGCTCTCCTGGGCGACGGTTTTACGCTTTCTTCTTGAACCTGCTGCGCCTCCACCCACTTTGCCACATGTTTCAATGAGAAAATGGAACTACTCAGACAAGAAGCCCCGTAGACACCAGCGCCACACCCTCCCAGCTGCACGCCCATGCTCCGCCCTCCCGCCCATCCTCAAGGTGAACCATTGCTGCCTCATCTAAAGCCAGCTCTCCCGGGCCCCACATGGTGGCTGGGCTCCCTCTCTCTTCCAGCCCCATCATCCATCAGGAGGGTTCTCATTGCTCCTCTATCCAGTCCCTCTGGTACCCCCCATTTCTCCGCTCCCCTCTGCAGCAAACTCCTTGAAAGGCTGTCTCTACATATTGCTGCCTCCACTTGTGCCCTCCCAGTCTCTCCGGTCCCCTGTCTAATCTGGATCTCACCCCTCCCCCAGCTCCAAGAGTGCTTGTCAAAGTCGCCAACCCTCACGTTCGATCCAGCAGCCAGTCCTCAGTCCTCTGTGCCTGTGACCCATTGGCGGCACTTGACCAGGCGTTGCACCCCCTCCTCCTTGAGACCTTTTCCTCACTTGACTTCCAGGCGCCCACACTTTCTTTCCCCCAGCTCAGGTGGCTTCTCTTCCACGTCTTTTGCTGATTTAAGGGCCCTCCTCCTCTCTCCTTCTGTCTGCTTCTTTCAAGGTCTCAGCCGGTGCCCTTGGCCTTGGCTTTAAATGCCCCTTATACTCTCACATCTCCCACTTTTGCATTTCCAGTCTGGGCCTCTCTCTTGAGCTCCATTCAGTCATGGGGCTTGCCACCACTGCCCTCCCCCCCCCGCCCCGCACACCCCAGGATGTTTAAAGGCCACCTCAGACCCCACTGGTTCAACATGCAACTCTCCATCATTCCTTCCAAACCTGAGCCCTCACAGCCCAGGGTGGCCATTTCATCTTTCTAGTGGCTCCCCCTTACTCCTCTCTTTTACACCCCAGCCGCAATTTACCAGCAGAGCTGGTCATCTCTGACTCCAAAATATAGCCTGCCTCCTCCCTCTTCTCAGCCTCTCCACCACGCAGCCTGGTCCAGGCTCCGTCACCTGTCATCTGGACCACTGTTGGAGTCTCCTGCAGGTTTCCCTGCTTCTGCCCTTGCCTCCTTAGAGCCTGTCCTCAACACAGTAGCAAATCGAATCATCTCGCTTCTCTACTTAAAACCGCCTACAGCTCTCATCTCCCTCAGAGTAAAACCAAAGTCCTCCCAGGGCTTGCGAGTTCCTCCATGATGTCCTCCCCCCGCTCATCTCCTCTTGCTTCCCCCTCACTCACTCGCTCATCGCTGTTCCTCAAACACACCAGACAAGCTCCTGCCCCAGGGCCTTTTCACTCAGGGCTGGTCTCACTGCCCGGATGGCTTTTTCTACAGATTAAGGTCCACCTGGCTGATGCCATCACCTTCTTCTCTGGCCTCCAAGTTGCGGCCCCGAGTTTCCACAGCACTTACACCTCTAACATGTTGTATAGAATACGTGTTATTTATTGTCTGTCTTCCTTTCTAGACTGTAAGCATTTAAGGTCAAAGTTTTGTTTGTATTATTGTTTTTACTCTTCATTTTCCATCGTTATACTGGTATATTTCCAAGTGCTCTAGGCCAGTCCCTACGCCTAGTAAGTTCTCAATAAATACTTATTGAAAGAATAAATAAAAGAACAAATAAGGGTATACATCTAGGGCTATGGCTCCGTTCTCTTCACATCAGCCAAAACGGTCTTTGCGAAACGGAAATCTGATGACGTCATCCCTGGTTTTAAACCTGTCATGGTTTCTCTTGCTCGTCGGGTAAAAACCCAAATCCTGCCCTGCTGATGTCCTAGCCCCACGCTGCCCCTCTTCCTATCCGATGGCTCCTGCCAAACAGATTTTCAGCCTGGTCCTTACCGTGATCTCTCTGCCTTTGTACATGCCATTCCTTCTGCCCTAAAGGCATTTTCCTCCTTCCCCTTTCCCACCCACTTTATTCTCCAGTTCTCTTATCTCAGCTGGAGGGTCATCCTGGCCCAGGCCCCGTTCCTTGGCCATGTCCTCTCAATGACACTTGGTGCCTGTCCTTGAAGGCCTCCTCGTAGATGGATCCTGCATGTTGCGTGATTCCTGGACTAAGGCCTGTCTTGCCCACTGCTGTCAGCTCCTCATGGAGAGGCACATCTATATTGGTTTACTAGTGAACTCAACATAGTAGGTGCAACATGGACGACCTGATGAGTGGAAGGATGCATCGAGGTGCTAACCCATGAACTTGACCTTCTGGGCCGTGTGCGTTTCCTGGCCTTCGTATCATCCATGTCCTGGACTGATTACTATGTCAGCTTCTGATGGGAGCCTCTGGAACACTACCCATCTATGGACCTCTCTTCTCCCTTGTACCTTGGCGCCGGTTTGTCACTAAAAATCTTTGGATGACAGTGATGACGATGATGTCTTGGGGGCTCAGAATGCTGGAGGCCAAGCTGAGGATTTGGACAGAGGAGACTGCCGGGGGAAGACAGGAGCCTTCCTTGTCTGCTCCCTCGGTTAACCTGCTTGTTTCTTCCTGGGCAGGGTTCAAGGCGGAGGTGACTGTCAGCCAGGTGTACTCGGGCAGCCTCCGTGTGCTCAATCGCCACTTCTCCCAGGACCTTGCCCACCGGGAGTCCAGTGCCTTCCGCAGTGAAACTGCCAAAGCCCAGAATATGGTAGGGAAGGACTTCCGGGGTGAGAGGGAAGGTGCGTGGCGGCAAGAAGGGGTGGGGGGTGGGGGGCAGCGATCGCGTCAAGCCTGTTGGTCGGTCCATCCAGAGAACTCGCTGGGAGCAGAGGCCTGTTTTGGAACAATGGAAGGGGACATGGCACAGGGTGGTGGGAGAGTTAACGGTCTCGCATCAAATGTATTTAGATTAAATCTTGATCGTGCCACTTAGGAGGAGCGTGACCTTGGGGAAGTTAGGGCAGTGCAAGGATGCTGTCGGGGCCACCGCATCCCCTCTCCTCCAGGGCTCACTGCTCTGGGAATGGCCTCCCACTGCCCGCACCTCTACTCCCAGGCTGTGGGACTGCGCATGCCCAGCGCGGCAGGCCGGAAGTGCCGAGGCGTGGTCCCCAGGACCGACCCTCAGCCAAGAGAAACTGAATGGGTGGAGAAATACCCTAGCTCTCCTGGCCCCTGGTGGAGGGCAGTTCTGCGGATGACCCTACCATCTCCCAGAGCTCCCCGCGGGACCGCGCCTCAGTGGCCCACAGCTGTACCCCGCTCCTTCACAGCTGTGTCGGCTGTCCCCCGCCCCCACTAGTGTTCCCCGGAATCACTTCCACATTAAGCCACCTGCCTCACATCCTTGACTCAGGACCTGCTTCTGGGGGACCAACCCAAGGCTGTCTTTCCTCCTCTGTAAAGTGGAGTGATAATAACAGCGCCTGTTCACAGGGCTGTTGTGGGGTTGAATTGAGAGAATGTGGGCATCGTCTTCATGCTGCCCCGAGGGCCTGATGAACACACAACCCTGCTGTTCCATCCTGCCGTCAGCACTGTGCTTGAACAGGGGCAGAAACCAGCCAGCTGAGCTCCCGTGGCTGGTGGCTGGAGGTGTGGAGGGGACTCAGGAGCTGAGTGGGGCTTCTCAGAGTTGAGGAGTGCCTTTCGATGAGGGGGACAGAGGCCATTGCTGGTCTAATGGAGGCTAGAGCTGGTGGCGGTGATGGGGAGACAGTGCCTGGATGTAGGGGGAGGGGAACGTGGAATGGGTATGAGGTTTGTGTCCTGGTGTGGCCACCGCCCGTCGTGTGACCATTGGCAAGACTCGCTACCTTGTAGGCAGCTCTGTCAAGCAGGGCTGCCTGGCTGGGCAAAGGGCAACTCAAGGTGGGAGGGGTTTCCGCAGACAGTTACCAGGGGCCTGTCGTTTCCCCTCCTTTTAGCTCAAGGCCCTCATCGTCAGCACCCGCCTGGGCATTTACTTTAACTCCAGCTCCGTCTACTCCTTCGGGTGAGTCACCTGGCCCCGTGACCCACTCCCCAGAACCTCCGACTCAGAGAAGGGGAGGGGACACTCTCGGCTTCTGATGCTTTGTTTTGGGTTTTTAAAAATGAGGAAACTGAGGCATGGAGAGGCAACTCGCTTCCTGTGTGTGACCTCCCTTCACTGTGCTTGGTTTCCTCACCTGTGGAGTGGGCACAGAGGTGTGGGAGGGCTTCCCCAGACAATAGCTGTGACGTGCTTATCAAGGGCCTGGCACAATGCAGGTGTTAGTGAGGGGTGGCCCAGCTGTCCCACTAACTTCTGGTTCTGCCGCTTTGGACATGTAACCTAATGTCTTGTGCCTCGGTTTCCTCACCTGTAAAATGAGAACACTCGCGTCCGGAGAGGCTTCCCATGAAGGTGGAGGGCAATGCCTGGGATGTAGTAAGCGCTCAACATGCATAAGCCACAGTTGGCGTCTTCCCCACAGGAGCAGGAGTCTGGGCAGGGGAGACGGCAGGCCCCGGCCTCAGCCCCTCTCACTTCTGCCTGCCTTAGGGAGGGACCTCTTACCTGCTTCTTCTGGTTCATCCTCCAAATCCCCGAGCACCGCCGGCCGATGCTCAGCCCTGAGGTGGTGCAGGCACTGCTGGTGGAGGAGCTGCTGTCCACGGCCAACGCCTCGGCCCTTGCTCCCTACAGGGCCGAGTATGAGCCGGACCCCGAGGGACTGGTGATCTTGGGTCAGTACTGGGGAGGGGGAACATGGGACTGTCTGGTGAGGCCTGGGAGGGCTGCCCACAACGACCGGCATGCTCTCAGAATGAAGCCCCAGGGACCTAGGAGCCAGGACTGGGGTCGGGGGCAGGGGGAAGGTCAGCATTCGGGGTAAATCTCAGACAGGCTGGCTCTGATGGTCTCTTCTGGTTTTATTTCCATTCGATTTATTTATTTATGTTTTTGGTATTTGTTCATTTCCTTTTAACAGAAGCCAGCGTGAAAGACGTAGTTGCACTGAATTCCACGCTGGGTACGCTACTTTTGTTTTTTTCCTCTCCACTTTTGAGTTGGTGGTTTTCTTGGCTTGGTGGAGTGTCAGGGGGGTCACGTGGCTACCATGGTGGGTGCAGGGAGCACTGGCCTGGAGTCACCCAGGGCATACCACGGTGGACACCGCGATGGGTCCCAAGCGAGGCTTGGAACCTGTGGGGGGAGGGGAGCAGGTGTCGTGAACACGCGTGTGTGTGTCTTGTTCACGAGTGTGTATGTGTTGCCTGCGTGAGAGTGCGCCTCTACGTTTCTATTCCTGAATTCAATTTGCCACAAGCCACTGTTTGCACTGGTGGTTGAAAATAACCTTTCCAATTCGAGGTATGTCAGTTACTTTGGGTTTAAGACTTGGTCTTTTGGAGATATTTCTGTCACATTCAAGGATGCTCCCTCCACCTTTTCCTTCCCTTTCTCGGCCAGCCAGGCTTCCCTGCCCTCTGACCCCCACCCACCCCTGCGCCATAATTGCTAGTCACCTTACTTTTTTCCAAGAGGCTCCACTGAGCCCTGGGAAGCAAAGCACCAGCAGGGCCACCACGCTGCACGACACCAGGGGCGCTCTCCACGCAGTCACCTGTGTATCCGGCAACCCTTGGTCTTGTGCAGTGCACCACCTGTACTACTGTATCTTGTGTTCCTGAGCACAAGCCCCCAAATTCTCAGATTCTTCCTATACTACCTAGAGTTTCTACCCAGAGCTGAGGCTGGACCACGGACCTCCGCCCCTCTCAGTGTGAGAGGCAGAGTTTAAATCCTGGTTTGACCTTCGCTGACCTTCCTCTCATCCCATTTGGCTGGTCAAATGCTTACTTCCTTGGTGGGCGAAGGTGATGGGGTCAATGTACATTTTTCAAAGAGTTAAAATCATGCTTCTCATGCACAGATATAGCGAGCACATCAGAGATTTATTTAACTCTTTAATGAGGGATCCAGTAGGATAGTAAGCTGGTCCAAAGGAGAACACAAGACACTGATCGATCGATCTATCTATCTATCTATCTATCTATCTATCTATCTATCTATCTGTCTATCTAGTCTATCTATCATCTTACACTGCATCGGTGCACACGTTGCCTTGACCCTCGGTCTGAGACAGGCCTTTCTGTTACCTTTGTCCGTGCCAGGTGTCTGCGTGTCCTCAAGTTTCTGGCAGTTGCTCTGTAATTACCTTTATTTGGTTCCATGAATGTCTGGAGCCCCTGCCTCTGGGAGCACCGTGTCTAATGGGGGGGATGACAATTCAAATCAATTCTTTAGATGGGTTTTTTGAGCACTTCCTCCATGCCGGGCCCCGCGCTTGCGCTGGGGACACCAAATGACCACATCTTCACCCCTGCCCTCAGAGGAGCTCTGAGCCTCATGAGGGAGACAGACTCATAAACAGAAACTCACAACCCCAAGCGCCAGTGCTAGAATTGAGGCCCCAGAGGCAGTGAAGAGAGAGAGGACCGCTCTGCCCTGGGGACAGGCTGCAATCCAAAGCAAAGGAAGGAATGTGCCTCTAGCAGGAAGAAGGAGTTGCTGCTGACTGGGGCTCCTAGAAGCCTTCGTGGAGGAGGGGGCTGCAGACTCAGACATGGGCGGGGCAGAAGTAGGACTCTGTCGGGTTGAGAAGGGGAGAGGGCACAGGGCAGGGCATGAGCAAAGGCCGGGTGAACAGAACGCATAGGCAGATGTATTTGCTTTTTCCCAGTGACCAAAGGTACCAGGCTGCCCAAAGGTGTTTCTGATTATCAACAGAGACCAGCACATACCTATCCATTTAATTAGCCAAAGAAAAAAAGTAATTATTAAAGTAGCAAAGCAAAGCCTTCATGAGGTGGGGGGCGGGGTGTTGGAAGAGAGCCTTTCCCCAGATGCTGGCCATGGCAGATATCACGGGCCCTGTCCCTTCCTTTTGTAGATGTCAGAGGTCTCTGAGGGAGGTCAGCTCCCTCCTGGGGTCAGGATGACCAGGGGTCAGGGAGGGAGTTGAGCAACAGGCGGCAGTATCAGAGCAAAGCGTGATCACTGCCATTCCTTCTTGGTCCTCAGAAGTACCCGGAGAATGAGGTGGGACAGAGGTTATTATGATTGCGTCCATTCACAGAACGCAGAATGGCTCAGTGACTGGCCCAGCGTCACACAGCTGCTGACAAGTGGTGCTGGGGCTATGAAGCAGAGTATGGAGTCCCCGCACACCAGACTGCCTCCCACATCTGGGCCTCACACTCACATCCCCTCTGCTTCCTGGCAGAACATCCAACCTCCCTACTTCACTGGCTTATGGCGAGGTCTAAAGGAGCTATTTATGCTCCACGGGAGAGATTTGCTTGTTTACCGCTGATCTCTGGTGCCTAAATCAAGCACAGTAACTATGTTGCATGAATGAATGAGCGAGTGAATGAATGATGGTGGTGGTACCGCTGTGCAAATTCTAGCCCTGCACATGAAGCTCATGGATTACATGTCAGAGAAAAGGCACAGCCACCGGGGCGTGGGTGTGGGTGTGGAAGGGTAGGCCTGTGCGCTGGAGGAGGTGTGAAGTGAGGGCAGCCAAAGCGATTGGCTACATCTTAGCCTCAAGTGGGAGCAGCTGAAGGGTGACAAGTCACAGAACTTTCACTCGAGTTTCGCCTTCTCCCTTTACTCCACCTAAGGAAGAGCAGCCACAGCATCTACTGCGTGCAAGGCGCTGTGCAGAGTGCTCACACATGCACCATCCCTAAGCTTTGTGACAGCCCCGCGAGGGCAGCGTCACTGTCTCTATGCTGCAGAGGAGAAAACCAAGTCCCAGAAAAGATTAGGTGGAGGTCAGGTGAAGCCAGGTCCGTCCGTCCCAGGTCTGTAAAACGGGGTGCACCGCCTGTGTGCAGCTCGGTTCCAGCCCGTCTCGAGCACTTGCTAAGTGCCATTGGTTTCATGCTCCTGGTTCCATTATCATTAGCTAGAGCTCACTTCTACCTAGGGCTGTCCCCAGCCCCACTGGAACACACTCCCTTCTCTCCACATGAAATGAACCCCTCACCCTGTTCCCTGTATGGCGCAGCTGCCTCGCTGGGCCTCAGTCTCCCAAAGTCGCTCCCAGCAGCCAGAGGAATTCGTGACCCAAGGTGGCCCCAGCCCCAGCCCTGCCTAACCTTGCGTGGTTCCCATGGCTGCAGGAGAAAGCAGTTCCTCTCCCAGGCGAGATCCGGGCCCTGCCTCCCGGCTCCAGGATGCCCTCCTGCCTCCAAGTTCCCGGCTGGCCTTGGCCTTCAGCAATATGCTCACATTGTGACCTTTCCCCACAAAGCCTTTCTCGCCCCACCGGCCAGGCTTGCAGCCCTCACCTCCTGAGCTATTACCGCAGGGCTTTGCGTCTGCTTGTGCTGTTCTCAGCTCTCCCAGGCAGTGACTGGACTTTTCTCCGTGGCACTCACCTGGCAAGGAGAACTCAGTGAGTGCTGAGTGAACGAATGGATGAAACGGGGAACGGATGCGTGCAAGAGGAGACTGAGATGGAAAGCACAGGGACACAGAAAGACTGGGTGTAGCTCTTCGGGGCTGACTGACCCCCGTCCAGCTGCTCTCCCCGCCCGACTCCGCCCCGTGAGGACCTGACAGGGCTGGCTCCCCCATGTCTCTCCTCCCGGCTGATAGAGGTCAGGGCGCCTGTCCCTTTCCCCCCTCCAGGCTGCTACCGCTACAGCTACGTGGGCCAGGGCCAGGTCCTCCAGCTGAAGGGGCCTGACTACCTGGCCTCCAGCTGCCTGTGGCACCTGCAGGGCCCCAAGGACCTCATGCTCAAACTCCGGCTCGAGTGGACGCTGGCCGACTGCCGGGACCGGCTGGCCATGTACGACGCGGCTGGGCCCCTGGAGAGGAGGCTCATCACCTCGTGAGTCCCTGGGAAGGTTGGGGGTGGAGGGGAGGGTTTGGGGAAGGGAGTGGTGCTGTAGGGTGAAAGGTCACGCTCAGCATTCTGAGATCAGGGGCCCTGTGACCTCTGGCCCTGTGACCTCTGGCCCAAACGCCTCTTCCCAGTGAGGCTGGCCCAGGGGGAGAGGGGGAGGGGAAGCTGGAAATGGCTGTGGACTGTGGGCAGTCCCCTTTTCTTCCCCCAGCCTCAGTTTCCCCATTTGTAACAAAACGATTGTACTAGATGACTGCTAAGTTCAGCTCTGGGAGGTGACATGGCTTGTTTGAAGAATGCCTCGGCATCTGGCAGCCCCGACTTCCAAACCCCATTCTGCTGCTTCCTAGCTTTGTGCCCTCAGGCAAGGTGCTCTGCCTCCCTGAGTGTCAGTTTCCTCACCTGTAAAATGGGTACATAAGCACGCTTACCTTGCAGGGTTATTGTGAGGATTCAAACCAGCCCTTCTGTGCCAAGATCTTCACACAGCAATGTTCTCCATTGTTACTATCATTGTATGTGGCCCACCTGGGGCTGGGTCACAAAGGGTATTGGGTGCCAGGACCGATGTCAAATTCAGGACTTGGGAAGTGGGAACCTAACTGAATGTTCTCGAGCAGAGGAGTAGGGCTTTGGGACACAGGGTATGATGCGGGCTGCAGAAGTGACCAGGTCAGGGCAGGTGGGGGATGGGAGACCATAAAAGGGCTGGAAACGGTCTTGGTCTCCAGGTGCCTTGTCACCTCCCCACAGGGTGGGGAATGGGTGTTGGGCCTGCCAGGCTCTGCAGGAGGCGGGGGAGACACTGGGGACACCAGGCTGCTGTCTTCTCTGCTGTGCTTGGGCGGGGCCAGCTTCCAGGCAAGGCGTGGGGGTAGGACCTTTTCATTCAGATCAAGAGCGGTCCTTGAGGGTGAGCTGGGTGAAGCTTCTCCCCAGCCCCCTCCCCCAGGGCCTGTCTGGAACTCCAGGCACTGAGGTGCACACTCATTTGCACCCGCCCCAGCTGCCCTGTCATGTGGTGACCTCAATCTGGGTGTGCGTGGGCTGGGTTCCTGGAGGGCTCTGGAAAGCTCAGAGAAGCCAGACACTATCTGATCACCAAGCCCAGGAAGGGTGGGGACACTTACGGGGTTCCCCTAGGGCTTCTCTGAGTTCCCCTGCATCCCACAGCCTGATGTTGTTGGGGTCTGGTTGCTGGGTTCAGCTCTGTCCCTACTTACTGTGACACTGGGCAGGAGGCTCACTCCACCTCGGACCCCAGGAGGTCTAAAACGACAGACAGGATTGCCCGGGGTAAGGGGGAGGGAGGTCTTCAGATTTGCACCCTGGAGCTTGAGAGGGAACTTTAGGGGTGATGGGAAGACAGAGTAGACCCTTCACCCACCTCTAAACTCGTGGCTTGTTTCCACATGTTTCACTGGACTAGAGACGTTTTACTTACAACAAGGCTCTGCTGCTAAGTAAATAAAATAAAATAAAAGAAACCCCCAACAGTAAAAGCTGCATTAAATATGACCTCCAGGTCCCTCTTAACACTACTGTCTCCACCTGCAGAGGGACTGGGCAGATGAGGCAGAGGAAGGCATGGTGTGTGGGAGGGTAGGGGGCACTCAGCAGTGAGAACAAACCAGTGTAGTCAAAGCCGGCGGGACAAGGAGCTGGGAAAGCAGCCAGAGGCCAGAGACCAGGAAACGCCTCTTCCCAGGACCCTTCGGGCCCCAGGACCTACCCTGGCATTGCTCACTCCCCTCTGGTTTTTGAGAGGCTGTGTTTGATCCTAAGCATGCACTTGCCGAGATGCCTGCAGTGTTCCCATCCGCGCCCGCTCCCTTCAGTCAAGTTCATGGCTGATGCATCGTAGGCAGGCAGTACCTTGCTGCTGGATGGTTGCACGCTCGCTCTGGAAGGCAGCTTCCAGGGTTATTAGCTTCCTGAGAATTGGTCTACCGGTTAGCAAGGAATCAGAGGATTCTTTCGGAGACAAGGGGTTATTTGATGGAGGTTGGCGAGAGGCAAGGGGAAATCCAGGAGCACCTCCACCTGAGATGGGCCCACCAGGAGGCACCTTTTGGGAGGGGCAGTGTCCACTGTACCTCTATCTCTGCAGTGGGGCCTTGGCACGGTCCCCAGCCTCAGTTTCCTGACCTAGAAACTAAGCAGTAGCCTTTGACAATCTTCTAGGAGTTTTTGCAGGGCTGACGTTCCTCGAAGAGTCTAGAAATCCAAAACACCATTATTTATTCTGTGCACCCCAGGCACCGAGCTCTGGGTGGAATCCTGGGGTGTCCCAGGGATCACCAGACCACACTCCCACCTTCTGTTTGTCCCAGCTCAGAACAAGTCCAGGAGTCAGGGAGTGGCCGGCCAGAGGGTGTGGTCCCCACAGGTGTCAGCCTGGTCAGACCTCGAAGGGTCTAGAAATCCAAAACACCATTATTTATTCTGTGCACCCCAGGCACCGAGCTCTGGGTGGAATCCTGGGGTGTCCCAGGGATCACCAGACCACACTCCCACCTTCTGTTTGTCCCAGCTCAGAACAAGTCCAGGAGTCAGGGAGTGGCCGGCCAGAGGGTGTGGTCCCCACAGGTGTCAGCCTGGTCTCCCTGTGGGCACAGGCTGGGCACTCAGAGGTCATGGGAATTCTGAGGGAGCAGAGGAGGTTCTGTGGGACTGAGGTCAGCTGGCATCATCACACTGTGAGCTCTAGAAGTCTGGGCAACCCCCTGGCCTCTCTCACCTCAGACGCCAGTTTGCCCCTGACAGGGCTGCCAGTCAGTCGCCTGGGCCAGAGAGGGTCAGGAACTTGTCTGTGAACACACAGCAGGCGGATCGCGTACTTGGGTGTACAGATTCCCAGCCCAGCCTCCTCCCCTCCCAGAGGCCCTTCCTGGGCGCCAGCCCGCCTTTCTCTGTCTCCCCAGAGTCTATGGCTGCAGCCGCCAGGAGCCTGTGGTGGAGGTCCTGGCGTCAGGCGCCGTCATGGCCGTGGTCTGGAAGAAGGGCCTGCACAGCTACTACGACCCCTTCACGCTCTCCGTGCAGGCGGTGGCCTTTCAGGGTGAGGGGGTCGGGGGTCTCCGGGGGAGGGGAGGAGTGCAGTGACAGAAACTGAGGGTGCTCCCCCGGGCATGCCTTCGCCTTCTTGGCTCTAGTTGGGGTGGGACGAGGGGAGAGGGAAGGTTCTAGAAGCGCCTTGGCTCTCCGCACCCCCTTCCCCCTCCACAGCACACACTCTGTTCCTCTGTTCTCAATTTATTTTCCCCATCTCTTCCTCTCTCCTACCTCCCCAGCTCTCTTCTCCTTTGCTCATCTGTCCCAGCTGCCACTCCTGTGTCCCCCGCATTCTCTCTCCTGCCTTCTTCCCATTCGCCTTCCTGCGTTCCTGTCCTCCCTCCTCTCTCAGTCTCTCCTCATCCCGGCTCGGTGTTTCCTCTCCTCGGCCCCTCCACGCTTCCCTCTGCACCCCCCGAGGGTGAGGTCTATGGTCAGCAGGCCTGAGAACTTGAGATTCACCCCGAAGCAATCGTCTTACACTGAAGGCGAACCCGCATATCTCCTTGGAGCTGGGCAGGGGCTCGGGGAGGCTGAGTATTCAGCATTTCGTGGGAAGGGCTCTCCAAAGGCCGCCCACTGACCCTTCCCCGACCGGAGACCACACGCAGCTGCTGCTTCTCCCCCGCTGCTCCGGCTCTGTCCCTTTCCACTCGGTCTCCTCTCCTCTCCTGGTGTCAACCCCTGAGATCTGGCAGTGGCCCAGGTACACAGAGGACCCTGCTGGAGAGCTGGCTGCCCTCGGTGGGGTCCTGGGGCTAAGGAGGTGCCAGCGCTGGCGCAGTTCTCACGGGAGTCTCTGACACAGCTCTAGGGAGAAGGGAACAAGGTCTTTAGGGTTACTCCGTGGAGAGGTGGCCGGACAGCTGGGGACACTCCAGCTCCTCATCATTCGCCCTCTCACTATATGACTTCAGTTAAGTCACTCCTCTTCTCTGAACCTCATCTTTGAAAAGGGGACCGATTCTCCTTCCCCCAAGCCCCACGACTGAGGCTCTCCCAGCACTGAGCAGACTCAATGAAGAGTCCAGTGCTGCACAGCGAATGTCAATAACTAACATTTATCGAGCACCTACTATATATCAGGATTTTTGAGTGTTTTATGTCTGTTTAATTTACTCAACTACCCTATGAGGTGTGTACTATTATTTGTCCCCATTTTACAGATGAGATATCTGATGCCCAAGGTCACACAGTCACACTCAACCACTAAACTTTACTGTTTTGTAGCAGCATGGTGGGCGGGTTTACGGCTGCCCCCACCTGCTGAGAGAGGCGGTGGGGAGGGGGGGTGCGGGGCCAAGGGACCCTGTGTAATTCCTGTTCTCTGGGCCCAGCCTGCGAGGTGAACCTGACCTTGGAGGGCCAGCTGGAGCCGCAGGGCGTCCTGAGCACGCCATACTTCCCCAGCTACTACTCCCCCAGCACCCACTGCTCTTGGCATCTCACGGTGAGCTCCTCACCCTGCCCGCCCCCTGCGCTCTTCCCAGAGCACCCTATGGACCTCCGGCACCCCCGGCTAGGAGGAGGGGCACTGTCCTGCCTCTTCTGAAGCACCCACAGGCTGAGCCTGGGTCCAGCTCCCTCTGGGGGTGTGGGGGTGGGGGGGACGGTGGGTGTGGCCAGGGTCTGGCTCTGTCGGCCGCATCAATGCCTATTTGTTGAGTGACTGACGAACTTCAGTGCCAGCCGGGGCTCTGTGTTGGCAGGCCTCCTTCTCCCTTTGTTGTCTTGGGAGGTAGGGTCACCAGACCAGCCACAGCCCACAGGCCACCTGGTGACCAGCTCCTCTGTCACAGGTGCCCTCCCTAGACTATGGCTTGGCCCTCTGGTTTGACGCCTATGCACTGCGGAGGCAGAAATACGACCTGCCATGCACCCAGGGCCAGTGGATGATCCAGAACCGGAGGTACCCACCCCTGGACCCCTTTCCTCTCCCCACAGGTACCGCCCCCTTGGGAATCCAAGTCCAGAAACTCAGAGGAGCCCCACAGAAGGGGGGCAGAGGCGGAGCTGCTCAGGCCTGTGGCCTCACCCCTTGACTCGGTCCTTATCTCACCCCCACCCTGGCCCCGGTCTCCCCTCCTGCCACCCAAGAGTCTCAGACACACACGTGTCATCAGACAGCTTGGATGTTGATCCTAGGTAGAGTGAAATGGTTTCATTTCCTTAGGTGCTGTCACCCACTGTCTAGTACCCTAATCTTTGAATGAAGTGGCGTGGGAGCCCCAGGGCTCAGCAGTG